CAAAAATAATATGATTCAAAAAAAGTATGAACCGAAATATTATGATCCTTAACATTTTTCTTATTTAAAATTTTATAATTGTTAAATATTAAAAACTCAAACCGGTATTTAGTTTAAAAAATCAAAAAAAATCAAAAAATAAAAATAAACACTAGTATCTTCAAGTATGTACTAAATATATTTAAAAAAGCCGAAAAAAGCAAAAAAAAAATTACATAAAAAACAAAAAAAATTAAAAAAAAATTAAAAATTAAAAAAAAATTTAAAAACAAAAAAAATTAAAAATTAAAAATTAAAAACATTAAAACCGAGCATACATCTATATAATTTTTTTTTGAATTTTTTTTAACAAAAAATAATAAAATAAAACAAAAAAAAGTAATAATAATACCCACTTAAATAACGTTCCATGGATGTTCACCACATGTGATTAAATCTTCGAGTCTGTATTAGTTACCACAGGTGTGGGTCGCATGCGAACGCAGTACGGCCAAGTATTTGGATTTGATGTTTGTGCATTTGACGAAATGGGTGGTGGAGAATTGTCATCGCAGTACTCACTACATGCTTCAATATTTAAATAAAACCGATAAAAGAAGAAAAATATTTTTAAAAAATATTATTGCCGGTTTGGATCGGACTGAGTCATAAAAGCAAAATAATAATAATAATAAGTTCTTACAATTGTACCCGACGAGGTCTTATAGCTTGATATAATTTCACAATTGTATCATTACTAATACTATCTAAAACATTTTTTCAATATATGACACCAAACTATCACTTAAAAATTAATCACTCATTTTGTTGCGTACATCAGTCTTTACCAACTTCATTGCTGAAAATGCACGTTCCACACTCGGTGTTGCAACGGGTAAGATCAATGCAAGTTTCAAGAGAAGGTAAACCTTAGGATATATTATATTCTTTTTTCTCTTCGGCCATCTTTTTGGAAAGTTCTCCAATGCTCTTCAATTGATTAAATCGTTCATCTTCTCGCACATCCTTAATGTAATTTTTAAGATCAACTTCAAGAACTTGAAGATCATATTCTGTTCGAAACTCTTCCTTATAAAGTGTAGCCATTTCCATTAGTTTATCCACATCAAAGGCTTTAAAAGACTCTCGCGGGCACAAACAAGTTATGCAAAGAAGTAATTTCGTGTTGGCTTCATTAAAGTGATGGTTAAGCTCTTGAAGTTGCATATCAATCACCGCCTTAAATACATCAACATGATAGTGGTGCAAGTTGTTAACCTGAAAAAAAAATCTTTAATATGCTAATTACAAAACACAATAAATAAATCAAGTTGGTAATATCAAACGTTACCAACCTGTGAACTTCTTCGACGACTGAATCCATCATAATATTCATCTTCCATATCCACGATTCTAACATCATGTTTATCGCAAAACAAAGTAACATTCCCTAAAAGTGGTTCCCATCTTACATCTCTAATTTCTTGAATTGCTTTTTTAGAGCTACTTACTTGATTCATGGCATTTACGATATCTTGGTCTTTTCTTTGTAATGTTGTATTCAAATTATTTATGACTCCCAATATATCAACCATCAAGTGTAGACAAAACACAAAATCAAAGGACATTAATAACCTTAAGATTCGAATTGCTTCAGCTTTACGTTCAAGATCACTATTATCTCTACCAAGGTCTTCAAGTACTTTACAAATGGAAGAACATATGTTCTTGATATTCAATATAGATGAAAAATGAGAACCCCATCAAGTATCAGGTGGTCGTTTGATACCCACTTCTTGGTTCAAATCGGTACCACTCTCAAGCTCACCTAAAATTTACCATATAAAAGTTTAATTAGCATAAAATAACTACAAAATATTTTAATAATAAATCTAGTACAATTATAAAGCAAACCTTCAACCAATGCTTCCATAACTTTATTTGCTTGTTTTATTCTTAAATTATCTCGTCGCGTGTAGGAAGATCCAATAATGTTTAATAGCTGAGAAACCGCATCAAAGAAATCATTAACCTTCGTGTGAGTTTTTTGCAACAAACATTAGGGCTAACTGTAATTGGTGAGCAAAACAATGAATAAATTATGCAGATTTTGTTTTATACATAATCAAAGTCTTCAATCCATTAAATGCACCACTTATGTTACTAACACCATTATAGCCTTGCCCTCTAATGCTAGTATTACTCAAATTCCACTTTGAGAGCATATCATAAATGGTTGCCTTTAGTGTCAAAGTTAAAGTGTCACTGGCATGTCTAAGGCTAACAAACCTTTCTACAACTTCTCACTTTTTATTTATAAAACCTCAATACTAATGCCAATTGTTCTTTACAAGAAACATCACATGATTCTTCTATTAAAATTGCAAAAAAAAAAAATCTTTTTCCAATATCTTCCGTAATGACATTTATAGTTGCATCTGAAAATGCCTGCACGATATCTTTCTGGATATCACTGCATTTTAATTGTGTATTTTTTGGAGCATTCTTTAACACAACACGATCTACCACATCACATCGATCAGCTAACCATTGTAAAAGTTCAAGAAAATTACCTTTATTATCTGAGTCGTCTCTCGTCATGACAACGAAATGTCAATCCTTGACGCAATAAGAAGCATTCAAACGAATACGATATTCTTTTTCTTGCAAAGTGGTTTGTTTCTCAAAAGAAGTAGTTATGGATTGCCTTTGGTTCATCAAATTTTGACACTTTTGGACAACAATAATGTGTGGAGTTCCAACTTTATGATCATCTAGTCCTGATTTCCTATTCCAAGCTTTGAAACCAGATTTCACCAAATGATCTAATCCACCTTGGTTTGGTATATCGGATTTAAATAGATAACAACATAAACAAAATGCGGCATTCTCTTTTATATTATATTCTAACCAATATTTATTATCATCAAAACAAGATATATTGAATCTTCATTGTTTACCTCCAAAAGCACGTCGTCTTTTTTGCAAGTATGCTCTTCTAATTTCATCTATTTGATTCACATGATAATATTCCATACCTGGTTATTTTATTGGGTCAACATGTAGTGAACTTAAATCAACTCTCATATGATTATGTTGCTCGTTATCTTCTTCTACTGTTTTTTTATCACTCTTTTTAAAAAACTTGAATAAAGACATTCTTGATTTTAATTTACGAAACAAACAATAATTCACAAACAACAATCAAATATTTAAACAAATGAACAAAAATCCAGTAATCACTTCATATTGAAAATTAGAAACAATAAAAAAAGCCTATTTAGAAATTAAAATCATGGAATAAAGCAATCAATAGTAACAATAGAAAAAAAAATCAACAGTAAGTATTTGATATTTTTAAAATAGTTGTAATCCGCAATTAAGTAATTAACAATCCTAGAAGTGGAGCAATTAATGAATTGTGATTTGTGAATTGTGAATCACCAATTAACCATGATAGCACAATGGCATTAGAATTCTAAAACTAATCATATTAATATAGAGAATTACCATATATTTTATTTATTGTTTACAAATTTAATAAAATTGACTAATTGAGTAAAATATATGCGGTGGGCAAATGGTTATAATATGATCACTGATTTGAATGAAGTAGAAGCTTCACGCGTCGTTGTGAAAACCGTTCACGAGGCACATTAATTTTTTTTAAATTTAATTTGTATTGGGCTATGCATATTTGATTATACCCTAAAAATATTGGGCTATTAAAATATAGAACAAGGGCTCTAAAAATCCGATTTATTATTATATATATTTTTGCCAAAGATATTAAGATGGTTCACTCATATTTTTTTAAGGTAGCTCATACTAATTTATTATATACTAGAAAAGATTTCCCGGCGTTGCCGGGGTCGGAAGGTATTGCTTTGTAAAGTAAAGTAGCATGTTGGTTGCTTTATGTCAGTTAATGTGAGGGTAATTTGGTATTTTCAGGTAGTAAGGACTGAATTCGTCACCATGGGTAAACCATATGGACCATTTATGTAATTTTGGCGGTGGTGGTGGTGATGGTGATGGCAGATGGTGGGTGGGTTTATGGTATTGGGTGTGTATTTTCTAATAAATAAAACATTAATTTAAAACCAAAAAGAGAATGTTAAATCTGGTAAACCACAGGGACCAATCGTGTAATTTTGTCTAACAATAATAATAATAATGATGAGGGACCATTTCTGCCAAAAGACTAAATACTAATAATATGTAATAAAAGGCGAGGGTTATGAAAAATTCAAACCAAAGTGAAAGGGTTGTTTGTGAACAAAAACATAAAGATGAAGGGTCAATGTTGTAAGTTGGAGGACCAAAATTCACAAAAAATGTGTCACTTTACTGTTAAAATATTTCATAACTTTAATATATATATAATAATAACTTGTAATATAAAAAAAAGGTGGGTCAAGTAACCCCCAAATCGCCACTGAATTTGTACAAACCTGCAACCACATACAAAGGATATCAATCAGTCAATGGTAATCCCCCAACGCCGACGGCTCTATTTTACCATATAATTCCATGTATGTCGGAAAATATCCATATCCATAGAAAACGAAAGTAAGAGTATAAAGAAGTTATATATCATCCACACTCATTTTGTTGCAGTAATAGTAAAAGCATCTCAATGGATCCTTTGGTTGCCTATGTCTCCCAGGTTTTCACCTCATATAAAATTCACTCCATCTTCCAATTAATTAGATATAGAGCCTCAAAACAATTCAGAAAACTGAACTGCGAATTGAACAACCACACATAATAAATGATTGTATTCTACTCAACAATTTAATCAAAAGTCGTAATCTATGTGCCCATTTTAACAATGAATGGACTAAAACATTTATTTAGTCATGAATCTTGGTAAAGTAGTTTGTAAACTCTATTATTTTTAATTGAACACAGATGGTCCAAAAATAATTAAATTTTCACTAGTGTGTTGATAATGTACAAATCGTTATGGAAACAACCAAAAGATCTGTTGAAAATATTGAATGAACAAACCTATATCTCAACAAAGTCATTTGTTCAGGATCCCACAAATGCCTATATCACCACATACAAGCACAACACTAAGCTGGGGTTTAGTTGGAGCCCTATATAAATTCTTCAATACACATTTTGAGTTCATAGTCAACAGACTGTTATGACTTACCATGCGTTATAGTTGGTTAATGTTCACAGCAAAACCCAAGGATACGATAAAGATTCCATCCGGTTGTAACTGTGCTTTTAATTGCTCATGGATCAATTTATTTATATTTATGGAGAAATATGGGATGGTTGGCCCATTTCCATTAGGATTTATGGCAGAAAAATGAATAAAAGTATGATTAGATGTGAAGAAAGTATATATTAATTATAGTGATTCATACCTGAGAGTGGATTCGAAGCCATAATTCATATGATTCTGATAGGATGAACCATAGAAATTCCATAAAGGTGCTTTGTAGATGGATCTACAGTGACGAAAGTCCATGAAGGCGGCCACTCTCCTACCATAGCCTCAATTTGACCAATGTTCCCATAATTCAAGCTTTAAGGAAGCAAAACTAACAAATAAAGAAAAAATTGAGCTTGTTTGAGCCCTAAATTTTCAGTAGGGGAGAAGGCTTTGATGGAGAGAATGTGAAAAACATCAATGTTGTTGAATTCTAGAAACCCTATTTCAGAAGGTTCAATAATACAACAATCCTATACAATCAAAATTCAAGAGTCGGCCATATCATTTTAGGATGAAAAAACCAATATTACAGTTACAAAATTATACAACACATGGATAAAGAGAGAAATAGTGAGAGGCGAGGGTGGAGAAATAAGTGATACCTGAAAGGCTGAAACCCGTATATTTACTGGAATCGTTTCTTGACACACCTATATAGAAGCAAGGTTATAAGCTACAATCTCATTTTTAGACCAATCGGTTGTAGAAGAAGTTCTATGTTGGTGTGTGGGGGAGAAGGAAATAGTTGGTGGTTGATTCCACTTTTTGAAACCTTAGCAAATGAAGTGACAGTGAGCAACAATAGAATTCAAAATAAAAGTGATTCAATGTGATCGATGTCGGAGAAGGGAGAAGTGGTAGTGGAGATTTTAAGATCATAGTGCTTCTATGGTGGTGGTGAAGGCAAAGATGGTCAGTGAAGGCGTCATGGTGAAAGCTGTAGATGGTGATAGCAGTCGAAGCAACAATGATGATGAACGAAGTAAAATGTGGTCGGTGGGCTTTCTAGGGCTTCGATCTAACCTCAAATAGAAACGATCTGCAGATTGAATGAATTTAAGGAGAAGGGGTCCGAGATAATTGAGATTCAAAGTTTGAATGTAACTAACTTATAACTCCTTAAATCATGGTATCAATCAGTATCGAATAAGACTCCTAGTTTTTATCTTGCTTTTTCATTCGTTGAACGGATAAAATTCATTATTTTTTAATGTATAAAGTGATTGTAAATATTGCACTAAAAGTTTGTACCACTTAAAATTCAATATTTGACCGAAAATGTATATTAAAGTATAAAGATAACAACTATAACTAAACCATCTATTTTTTTAATAAACCCGTGTAATACACGGGTCTCACACCTAGTAGATAATAGATATTGATAACAACTATAATTAAGGAACTTCAAATTTCGAAATAAGATAGACATAGTTAACCTTATCTTAAATTTTAAAAATTCAAAATCTGATTTGACTTTTTGACTTGTTGATCGTATAAAATTTACATTTTATGAATGGATAAATTGATTGTACATATAGCATTATGGTTTGTATGACTTAATTTTAAGGCGTTTGACCAAATATATATATATATATATATATATATATATTATATATATATATATATATATATATATATATATATATATATATATATATATATATATATATATATATATAGATGTAAGTTCAATTGAGAAAATAAAAAAGGTTGAGAATGGGGGAATCGTTCTCAGCCACTCATTTATTTTTGCCGCAAAAGCCTTTGTTGTACCAGCGGAAATGGATAAGGAATACACATGTGTTTCCAACAAAACATGTTTCCTTAAACTATGCTAATCATTACCTTAATATATACAAAAACATAGTTTTTTTTTGTTTTTTTAATTTTTAAGAAGCTATTTATATCGAAAAATTATTTTAAATATACCAAAATTTATGATTTTTTATTCTCTACAAATAGACATCCATATTGATATACTTTTAAGATAAAATAAAAAATTTATTTTTTTTATATTTTCAGCTATCGTTATTCATAAGTGAATAAAAATACATCAGATTTTTGCTACAGTACATTCGTTATTCCCTTATGAATAAAAATATATAATTAATTTTTTTTACAGTTTAAGTATCATTTATACTACTTATTCATATATGAATAACAAATTAACTGTAACAAAAATCTGATAAATGTTTTATTCATATATGAATATAAAATATGACGACAACTAATACACGTTTTATTCATATATAAATATAATATATGATGAAAGATGATGTAAAAAATATATTTTAAGTAAGAAAACTTTATTATGTGTCATATTCATATATGAACGATACTTAAACTATAAAAAAAGTTACGCATACGTTTTATTCATAAGTGAATAACGAATATACTGTAATAAAAATCTGATAGATTTTTTTATTCACTTATAAATAACGAGAGCTGAAACTCTAAAAAAAATAAAAATTTTATTTTATCTTAAAAGTATATCAATATGGATGTCTATTTATACAGAATAAAAAATTATGAATTTTGATATATTTAAAATAATTTTTCGATAATAATGGCTTTCTAAAAATAAAAAAAACAAAAAAAAAATATGTTTTTGTGTATATTAAGGTAATGATTAGCATAGTTTAAGGAAACATGTTTGGTTGGAAAACACATGTTTATCCGTTATCCATTTCCGACGGTACGCATAAGTGTTTTGCGGCAAAATAAATGTGTGGCTGAGAATGATTCTCTCATTCTCAACCTTTTACCCTCCTCTATATATATATATATATATATATATATATATATATATATATATATATATATAATGCAAAAAATAAATAAACACATAGAATGGTTTATTATTCATCAAGATAATTTAATTAGAATTTGTAATAAAAACAAAAAAAAAACTTATTTTGTGATAAGTCAAAATGTTTAAATTAGAGAGATAATTGTATTAAGTTAAATACATTAATTAAATAATTTGTCTAATTTAAATCAATCCTTTAAAAAACCAAGTGACTCTTGAAACCGTCTCTCTTGCCTTCTCATTTTCTTGTCAACTATAAACCCAATTATACTTAGGACGACTATAAACCCGATCGGGTTTATGTTATATACCCTAAATAGGGTTTTGAAGGCTTAAATATTTGTTTGTGTGGATCATTGCTTTCGGGTGCAGTTGTGATATATGGATTCTATTTTGTATCATCATTGACATTTTTATCACTGCAAAAGGTAAAACCTACAGAATCTATTGTAGTTTTGTTTTCGTTGCTTGAGTAACATAAACCTAGATCCAATAACCAGATCATGATATTTTTGTTACATTGCTTTTGTTGCTATAGTCGTTTTGTATTATTCCGAATAAGCATCATGATCCAACAATATACTTTATCTTTAAACAAAAGTTAATGTGTATCACCTTTGTATGAATACGAATAATATAAAAAGAAATTCTTATAGTAAAACGTAAAAAAATTATAACTTAAGACTTTCATTGTAATATTATGGTAACCTGAAAAAAAAAAGATTGATATAATAGGTAAAAGGTTAAAAGAGAACATTTTTGACAGATATCATGGTATTATTGAACAATTGAACATAAAAACGATCTTAGTATAAAACCAAACATTTTTGTAAATATGGAAGATTTTATGATAATTTTTTTTTTCTATTTTAACCTCCAAACATTTAACATTTTATGGAAATTATCAAAAAAATCTCGCAAATAATTATCAAAACGTCATATCATCTCACGATATTTAGACTTAAACTTCAAAATATCATATTTGTCCAACTTAATTTCTCAATATCATATTTATCCTTTATAAACCCTCAAAATATCATATTTGCCCAAATCTTTTTTTATAATGTTTTTAATATTTTATAATCATTTTTTATACCTTAGAATTATTATAATAATTAAAAGTTTTAACCATATTATCCTTACGTCTATGTAATGGAATGTGAACTTCTAAATTGTTGAAATGTCGTCCTCTTAACAAACAAAAATATTCATCTTCAACCCTCTCTATGGAACTTATATTTTAATTGTTTAGTTTTGTTGTTGTTTATTATTATCATGTTGTTGATGTTTAAAAAGTACATATACAATATTTTGATATTTAAAAGGGCATATATGATATTTTGATGTTTAAAAATGACATATATGATATTTTGAAATTTTATAAAGGGTAAATATGATATTTAGAAATTTTATGAAGGGTAAATATGATATTTAGAAATTAAGTTGGGTAAATATGATATTTTGATGTTTAAGGGTATATATGAAATTCTCCCATAAAATTAAATCTCGACATCTTTTTTTTTTTTTTTGTCAATTTTACATCCAGGATTTGTACTCGAAGTCATTATCAAATTTTTTGTGCCCACTCGATATATATATATATATATATCTATATATATATATATATATATATATATATATATATATATATATATATATATATATATAATATTTTTTCATCAAACACTAATCCAATCAGACAAGTAAATGACATTCATATAATTCATTCCACAAAAAGAACAATTTTCCTATATATCAGTTATTCATAACACATTTTATTTATACATATTTATCGAAGAAAGGAAAGGAAAAAGGCTCACATTGTTTATAAGTGGATTGCTAGGCTTGAAAAAAGTATATATGATTTTTTTTTTAATAATATATCCTTATCGAATAGTTTAATAAAGAAGCTTAATAAGATAAAATGTTTAGTTGAGATTCAGTTAATTAAACTCAATTAAGATAAGTTGTCATTTTAGAGTTCAATTGTCATTATGGGAAATTCAAACTTTTTAATCTTTAAATAAATTTTATAAATTAGGATTTGTAATAAATGGTTTAAATATGTTTTATTAAAATTTATAGAGTTTAATGCATTGTAGGAAAAAAAAAATAGTGTAAAATAGAAAATAAAATTGTGATATGTCAATCTTTAGAGAGTTCAACGAATTGTTAGTGCTCTAATGATATAATAAAGGCCTAGATTTATTAACCTTTGTGAGTTAGGTTGGACGATGATCTCCTGCATTTACATTCACGTCATGAAAATCCATCGTTGGACTATAAGGCCCTTGATCATATAGAATGCCTCTAAATATACGCCCTCCTATGTTTATGGATGTTTCATATGCATATTGATCCACAACTTCATTTTCTCTTGAAGTTGTTGCCACTCGTACACATGTAAATGTAGATTCACCACTCACCTCCATCGGAAAATGTCCTCCAATCCCTATGATAATAAAAGTACATATGATGATGATGAAACATACCACTTATGGCTTATTGAAACCATTAAGTACAACACCAAGGTAACGTACCCGATGACGATGAAAGATTCATTTGTTGTTGTTCAATAGAGGGAGTTGTTGTTGAGTTTCGTACAAGAATCTGTCTGGTAGAAACCGGAACCCAAGTGCTCTTGACATGGGTTTGACAATTAAATCCATGTCCTTTACAACAACTCCTACACCGATAGTACAAACAATCCTTCTTTGCTTTGTTACCACAATCGAGGCACCTCATCATCCGCAACCACCGTACAATCCCCCTCTTTGTTGTTGTTGTCTTCAAAGATGAGAGTCTTTGTTAACTTTTTACTTCATATGCATATATACATGCATGTGCAAATGAGAGAGATTGTTTTGATATATAAATCATGTATGTTGAGAGAAAGAGAGAAATTCGTGTACCACCTTTTTCATTACTTGATATGGAAAAATTGTTTTCTTAAGGTTTTCGAGTTAAATGCAATGATACATGTTTTAAAGGCTCATAAGTAAATTATCGTCGTTTTAGATTCGTAAACCCTTTTGTAAACAATTGCAAATGTTATTTTAAGGGAAGGAGTATCAACTTTTGTGTGTTAAGCTTTTCCGCCGCACTCTTTTTGCAAAGGACTTTATTTTTAATTTTTAATTGTTAACCCCCCCAAAAGCAGAATTTTGAGGGACCCTACCGTACGGATATTCTAATTTCATTCCAATAATTAATGTATATCATCTCATATCAAACTAGTTTATTTATTTTCTTCTGCTAAATGTACAATTACAATAAGGTTCACATTCGATATCTTAAAATGTGTACTATTAAATTTGTAAGTAAATACACGATATGATTTATCAAAAATCATTTTTATCATAACTGCCCGTATTTTCTTTGATTCTAATCCCATAACATTTGTTTTAAATAAGTAATTTAGAGAGGATATGATCTAAAATAGGCATTGATTGAATATATGTTTTTAACATACAATTTAACTGCTGAAAATTACTATCACTAATCGTCTGTATGTGAATCAATGAATCTTGCAATTATTATCATAATTCTTTCAGGATGTTACCATTTATATATATATATATATATATATATATATATATATATATATATATATATATATATATATATATGAAAAAGTTCAATAGAGAACCATAATTATTGGTTCTTCAAGGAACCAAATATTTTTTTCAATTTCTAGAGTTTATTCTTTATCGAAAAAAAAATCTAAAAATATCTAAATTCATATATTAACATTGTGAATGTGAAAAATATTTTTCGGATTCACCCTGTGAATCCGGATTCACATTGTGAATTTTCAAAGATTCACATTGTGAATTTGACGTAAAAAAAATCGAATTTGATATAATTGGAAAAAGGATAAAAAGTTATGAATTTATGTATTTTTAGTTTTTTTTTTTTTTAAATAAGTTCTAAAAGTTGAAAAAAAGATTGGTTCCTTGATTCATTGTTTAATTATGGTTCTCTATTGAACCTCACCATTAATATATATATATATATATATATATATATATATATATATACTAATTTATAACCCATGATAACCACGGTTATAAAATTAATTAAACTTTCATATTAAAAAATCAAAATTATTAATCATTTATTTTAAATAAACTATTACTTAAGAGATATTTTTTTAAGTATATAAAATTATAATCGTTGATTTTAAATAAATATATGAAGTTATATATCGTCTTATAATTTGTATTAAATTAATTTTATTTTTTAATCTAATGTTATTAATTTAATATAACTAGAGTGAAAAAGTTTAAAATTTAAAATTTAAAATGAAGAATCAATTAATAATTTAATGTAATTAGAGTGATAAAATTTAAATGTGAAATATGAAATTGATAATTAATAGGTTGACAACTGACATGATCTGTAACATACAATATTAATAAGGAGTTCTCATAGTATGACACTTGGCAATAGAAGAATAAACATATTCATTTATTAGAATAGGGATATATATATATATATATATATATATATATATATATATATATATATATATATATATTAGTTTATAACCCGTGGAAACCACGATTACAAAATTAATTAAACTTTTATAGTGAGAACTCAAAATTATTAATCAATTATTTTAAATAAATTATTAATTAAGAGATATTTTTTTACTTATATAAAGTTATAATCGTTAATTTAAATAAATATGTAAAATTATATCACCTTATAATTTGTGTTAATTTTATTTTCATTTTTATTCTAATGTTATTAATTTAATGTAATTAGAGTGGGAAATTTAAAATTTAAAATTTGAAATAGAGAATTAATAGGTTGACAAGTGGCATGCATTAATTACGAGACCTAATAGGGTGACACATGGCAAAAGAAGAATAAAATATACATTAATTAGAAAGTTTAATATGATGACACATGTCAAAATGAGATTAAAATTATTCTTTTATTAGAATATATATATATATATATATATATATATATATATATATATATATATATATATATCATTTATTTATTACTAGTCGTGAAATTCATATATTATACGGTTTGATTAAAAAAAGTTAAATATTACTATCACTAATCGTCTATATGTGAATCAATGAATCTTGCAATTATTATCATAATTCTTTGAGGATGCTACCATATATATATAGATATATATATATATATATATAGATATATATATATATATATATATATATATCATTTATTTATTACTAGTCGTGAAATTCATGTACTATACCGTTTGATTAACAAAAGTTAAATATCAAGGTGTAAACAATAAATATTTTTTAAAGTCAATTTTAAAAAACAAAACACAAAACAAAATAATGAATAAGTAAGTAATTCAATTTATACTAATAAAACAAAACTCATTGATATATTTTAAATAATTATGTTGAATATTAAGATGTGAACATTAATCATTTTTTAAAGTGAATTTTCGAAATAAATAAAAACAAAATAATAAATAAGTACATCACAGGTTGATTTAAAAAAGTTAAATATAAACGTGTATACAGATGAGTTTTTAATGTTATATTAAAAATTAAAACAACAAAATTTACACAGCGGAATCATAAAAACCATCTTATGGGCATATGCAAGCTATAAATCTATGGTTTTTCTTATAACAGTAACATACTATGAAAACTATAAACTAACCTATGTAAATCAAAAATCACAAAGGGTTAGAATGCATAACTTTAAGTATCGTAGTAAATACTCAATCTTTGATTCTCAAGAGTTCCTTGGAAAGAAAGCACCAAAAGTATGATGTTTCTAATGACTCACACCCAATACCCTAGAAACCTTAAGGAACGATTAAGAGGAAAGAGGAGGGGGAAATTTAGATTCTTGCTCTTGAAGGCTATGGACGAAAATACCTTGCGTAAGGGTCCTGTTTATTGTTGGTGGAACCCCTAATTTGAATAATAAAATAAAAATGTTTTAAACATATTCAAATCAGTTTCCTTATCAGGTAAAGAAGGCTTCCAAAACCCTTCTGGACCTCTTCTAAAACCATCCACTATAAGAGGGTTCTAGAGTGTCTTCATTGTTCAAAAATTAAACAATTGCAATTCATCCCTAGGACCTTTAATTAATTATAATTAATTAAAAATTAATTTCCAATTAATTCTAAATTAATTATTAACCATTTCTAATTTATTTATTAATAATATAATAGATTAATAAATTATTTCCTTACCCCTCTAAAGATGTTCCTAACGATTTTTAGTTATTGAGGGCAACCCAAAAAGGATTTTGTTTTTATTCCATAAGATTATACCAATATAGTTATGACCTTAGACACCTAATCCAATAGACTCCAACTTGGATAAGTCATCAACTACAATTACAAGTATGGACCTTGAATAAACAACAAATTGTGCTTTCCAAAGCCACTACCGAATTTTGATTCATATCAGACATTGACCCTAAGATAAATGATCAACTATTCATTCGTTCAACAAGATATCATATGGAAACGAGACATGGATATTAATCAATCTCATAGCCCAAGATTTTGACTTCGTATGAGGAAGTTGTGATTTTTCGAAGTTTCGGCCCATCAGTGCGCGACACTGAAATCGAAATTCAAATCGGCCAAGTGTTAGCCAAAAAAATGTAAACGAGGGTTGAAGATCTCATAAATATGATCTCGTCGATATAAAAGATAGTCGTGAACGGAGCTCGTATGAAAGAGTTATGATTTTTATATGGAGTTTAACAGTCTAAGCCCTTTAAAAATATAAAATTAAAAAGTGTGAATTAGCCGACATAGTCTAAACAAAAATTGTAGTACTCGTCGATATCTATGCGTGCATGTAAAGAATGTCGAAAACGGGGCTTGTATGAGAAAGATACGATTTTTATAAAAATTGAAAATATGGGTGACGCGTAAAAAGTGTGTGGTGCACACCTTCTAGAAGGGTGACGCGTACCACCATCTTTTTGACACGTGTCATAAATTTGAAGGAGCGATGTAGCTGGAGCGCACGACGCACAAAAGGTGCGTGGCACGCCTGGTCAAAAATCTGCTATAAATAGAAGCCCAACCCTCATTCACTTCTTCACACGTCCAGAACTCTTTGGAATTTCCACTCTTAAAATCCAAAATTTATCTTTATTTTAGAAGCTTTACTAAAGCCCCGTGGTATTAGAGCGCTCGACAACTAGAAGCTCTCTGGTCGGAGTTCTGCCAGTGTAATTTCCAACTTTTCGCCATAGAATCTCTATATGTTAAGTTGCACTTATCTTAACTGAAGTGTAACTTATAGTTATAATCATAATCATTGTTATATAATTATAAATAAGATTTAATAGTGATTTCAAGTCGTAATATTGATTGATTTGCTTACGGGGGTAATGTCTGCGCAGATTTAGCGAGGTGTTTAAAATGGAATTTCCAAACAGTAGACTATGTATACCAAACGGACCCTACCACCAATATGATCTTACCTGGTTATTTCTTATTTGATAAATCTTGATGTAGACACTTGGATTATTGATGAATCTAGTCTATCATTAGTCACAAAGAATATAAAACTAAGACTTAATGATGTATACATGGGTCATATCAAAGGAAAAGCTAAAGTGTCAGGAGAAGCGCTGCCTAATGTTCGAGTCATCTACTTTTTAGCAAATGAGTGTATAGTTACTTTCATGAACATGATTTTAATACAAGTATTAATTAAAGTATTAAATACTTGTCGAAAGTTTACATGTGAATTATATGCCTATTGCCTGGAATATATGTTAGATGTAAATACGATGTGCGGACCAAATTTGGTTCTATATATGATAAATTTTTTATATAAATGATAATGATGGGAAAAGTATTATTTCTAAGAAAATAAATGTATATTAATACCTAATAC